CTCACATTTTGTTGCTGAAGGCGCTGCGAGCGCTCGGATCTCAATTCTCTGGCTCGTGATCGTAATGCATATTCTCTTTGATTCGCAAGGCGATTTTCGCCTACTGATGATGACTCACCATTTCGACGTCTTTTAGCATCCCTCGCCTGAGCACTTTGCTTAAAAAGGTTTGATTTTCTTTTTTCGGCATACTGTATTAATATTATTGAATGAAAAATACTAAGCACAAAAAACTTGACTTCAATCAAACCAAAACCACAAAAATTGAGTTAAAATGCTATGGTAGCGTGTGTTTGTCAGTGTGATGAGATAGTAACTCACTTTATATGCAATTTTCTTACGGATCCCTAATTTTTTCAATATAAATTATAGCCTATTTAACAACATAAAAGTCAATGTTTCAACATTTTTTAAATATATGGAAGTATAGAAAGATGGTGATTTAACACTTTTCCAGTTTGACTTTTCCACTTGCGCAGCACAATCCAGCCGTTTCTCTTTTAAACATTAACGCACTGCAATATCGGTATATAGTCGCCATTGGTCCAATATCTAAATTTTCATTATCACTGAAGTTCGCAGTGGGGTCATATTGAAATTCCAAGCGATTGAATGATGCCAATGATCTCCATGTCCTCATTTGTCTTTCTTCGCTTAAGTTTTGTGAATATACTGGCTGCTGGCTTGGATGTCTGCGGCCAATGTTTGCACGTCGTCCTCTAAGCATTTTGGACTATGGACAGAGTGGTGAATTTATCCTCAAATGCACGATCCACATAATTTTCACAGTTCAACTTAAATTGAATAAAAATTCTTTTTTTTCACAATTTCACAGTGAACACAAAAATTGAGTTAAAATGCTATGGGAGCGTGTTTGTCAGTGTGATGAGGTAGCAACTCACTTTATATGCGAAATATTGCAATTTTCTTACGGATCCCTAATTTTTTCAAAATATATTATAGCCTATTTAACTCCACGATAATATAGCTTTCTATCGGTGAAAGAATTTTTTAAATCGGACCAGTAGTTCCGGAGCCTATTCCCTGCAAACAAACAAACAAACAAACAAACAAACAAACAAACAAACAAATTTTACCTCTTTATAATATTAGTATAGATATAATAAATTGTTTTTTATTATATTTTATATTTTATTTATAAATTATAAATGATTTTGGCTATGTTGTAAATGTCGCTTTTGAAATCTTTGTTGGGTGTACCGCCTTACGTTACGGGCATATGTACGTACGTACATTAATAAGCATGCATTTGGGTTATATGATCCCTGCAGTTCTGGCTGTTCACATGTGAATTTTTGCAATTGCCAATCATGTGTGTAGGAAAGGGAAAGGGATATTCCTAAGTTTCCCCCTCTTTCTCACTCTTCGAATACGATGTCGTTGCTTGGCAACGACGGCGGCCCGACACCAAATTTGTCTTCTATTCTTTCGTTTCTCTCATTGCATTGTTGGGATTGGAATGCATTAACCGTTAGAAACACAAATTTGGGTTTTCGGTGGGAACCACGGCTGAGGCATGCTCGACTTATGTATACTTTTAGGTTTTAAAGTTTTTTAACATAATTTACTTAAAATGAATATAATTATATACAATATTATTATGGAATATTATATACTAGCTATTGTCTGGAAATAATATTTAAATTAAATTTACTAGTCAAATTAAAAATCAATATTAATTAATTTAAAAAATGAACTAGATTATTTAAAAAAAAGGGATTTGTTAAATGGTTTTATAATTTGACTAATTAGTTTAAATAAATATTTCCAATATTAGTATTAAGAATCTTGCCCTTTTATTAATTCGCGTTGCATATATAGTCGGACATGACTTTAAATCTAAAGGGTATGCCAGCAAGGCACGCGCCAAAAAGTCTAAGACGAAACAAAAGGGACGACGCAAATTAAGAAAAACAAGAAAGGAAGCTAGCTTCGGCAGGCCGAAGCTTATATACCCTTGCAGACATTAAATATGTCTAACAAAATACAAAAAGGCTAAACAGCATCTAATCTATGACGATTTTTCTATTAATTTTCCATATTGTTCATATGACAGCTATATGATATAGTCGTCCGATTTTGATAAAATTTAATTTGTAACTCAAGACTCATAAGAAAACTCTATATTCCAAAAATCATGATTGTCTGATGAAAAACATCGAGGTAATAATTTTATTTCCGTTATTTCTATATAGATTTTTCGATCTTTCCTATGGCAGCTATATGATATATTACCCCGTTTTTTAAAAATTTTTTTTATTTAAGAGTATTAGAAAAGCCTGATGTTCCAAAAATCATGCTCGCGGGATTAAAAACAACGACGTTATAATTTTTTTCCATTATTTATATATATATTTTCTGATCTCTCCTATGGCAGCTATATGATAGAGTTATCCGATTTTGATAAAATTTAATCCGAAATTCAATAGTGGTTAGAAAACGCCATCTGGAAGGAATCAAGTCGATCTGATCAAAAACAACGGAGTAAGAATTTTTAATTTCATTCTCTCGTATGGTAGCTATCCGATATAGTCGGCCGATCCGGCTCGTTCCGACCTATATACTGCGTGCAACAACTAGACAACTTTTGGGAAAGTTTCAGCCAGATAGCTTTAAAACTGAGAGACTAGTTTACATAGAAACCGACAGGAGGACAGACGGACAGACGGACACACGGATTTGGATTCAGTTGGTGATGCTGATCAAGAATATATATACTTTATGGGGTCTGAGGTGTCTCCTTCACTGCGTTGCAAACTTCTGACTGAAATTATAATACCCTTTTGCTCTGCAAGGGTATAAAAAGAACTGACCTGCGTCATTCTTTCGTTGTTCGTCATCGAAGCGGTCGTGCAGGTTAAATTAAAGTGAAATTAAAGCGATTTACTTGTGAATTGTTTTTACTAAAAAAACCAGGTAAGTGCTTGAATTATGTTTAAGAGCTTTTTTTTTAAGTTATTGAAAAACCCATGAGGCGCTGCGGGGCTTTTAAGAAGTAAACAAAGTGAAATTGAATTGTGTTTAAAATAAGCCATCCCTTTAATGTGCGCCGGCGTACAGTTAATAAAATGGTCCCAATCGTAAGCTGGGCCCAATTTTAAACTGGCCCAATGAAGTTTAAGCCAATTCAAATCGACGCCTTATGGGTTTTTCTTTGCATCAACTGTACGCATCAACAGTGTTGCCAGGTGATGAGCGTCCGAATAAGCTAGATTTTTAATAAAATAAGCTAGAATAAGCTAAAATTAAAAAAAAAATGATATTTTTATTTTATGTTATGTTAAATCTGCATTAACATAAGCTTGTTAAATTTGCATCTAGCTTATAGCTTGAAATAACATAAAAATATCATTTTTTAATTTTAGCTTATTCTAGATTATTTTATTAAAAATCTAGCTTATAATATGCAAAACTGGCAATACTGATTGTACGAGGCAGGCCCCCCTTCAACTCCCGGAAGTTTATTTCGTTCAGCTATAAAATTTTAATTGTTGGTATTGGCAACACAATAATTAATTAATTAAATTAATTATATTATTTTCAAAACTTTTTTATTAATTTAATTAAAATATTAAACTAAAAAATTTGTTTTCAATTTTCAGCATTCCTTTTTTATTAGAAAATTTAGTAGATTAGAAATAAAATGTTTAAATATTATCAGCTTTATTATCAAGTTAAAAAGGAAAAAGAAGAATTAGCTAGAAGGCTAAGATTAGCAGAAGGAAGTCAGGGAGAAGAAAACGTTGAAGTTAGCGCTCAGGGTAATGAGAACTTTACGCAGGAAGATGTAGAGCTAGAACGTTTAGATGAAGATCCAAGTCAGGAAGCAATTGAGCATGGAGGTAGAGCAGGGTCAGGAGGATCTTAATTATAAGCTTAGGAAGTGGTTTGTTAAACACAAGCCCAAGCGTAGCTGTGTAATAGAATTAGTAAAAATTTTGAATGAAGAAAATTTAAATGTTAGGCCATTTTATAAATTTAATTGTACTGAAAAGCCAAATATTATGCAAGTTGGAGGTGGTTCCTATTTGCATATTGGCCTTTCAAAACAATTAAATAAACTTGATGTAGTTCCGGAACTACCGGATGTATTAAGTATTGACGTTAATGTTGACGGCCTTCCATTATTTAAAAGCTCACGTGCACAATTGTGGCCCATACTAATTAGAGTAAATAATATAAATAAATGTCCGGTTTTCCCCGTAGGAGTTTTTTCGGGCCAAAACAAGCCATCCAATTCAGATGAGTATTTGTCTAGATTTACTAGGGAGTTGTCCGATGTAACGAAAAATGGTCTAACCATTTTAAATAAAAACATTAAAATTGATCTAAGAGCTCTTGTGTGCGACACTCCTGCAAGGGCATTTGTTACAGGCACACCTGGACATACATCCAGTTATGGCTGTACCAAATGCACTCAGGTGGGACGCAAAATAGATGCAACGTTAACATACAGCACTTCTTGTGCTGAGTTAATTACAGATGTTGACTTTGCGAGGAGGAAATATCCAAATCATCACCATAAAGATTTCTTAGGGTCTCAGTCCGCTTTTGAAAAACTTGGCATCGGTATGGTTACCCAAGTTCCCTTGGATTGCATGCACCTCATTGAGTTGGGTGTAATGCGAAAATTTTTGGAAAGAATTTATTATAATAAAGTAAAACAAAAAATTTCTAAAGAAAATAAAATGAAGATGTCAGATATATTAACGTCAATGCGGGGCTACAAACCTAGGGAATTTTCATGAAAGCCTAGAACATTGTTAGAACTTCCAAATTGGAAAAGCACTGAATTTCGCCAATTTTTATTATACACTGGAATTGTAGTTTTTAAAGATACAATCCATGAAGATCAGTATTATATTTTTTTGCTATTGCATTGCGCATATAGACTGCTCTGCTCACAAAAACAGCGGGAGAATAATGTTGAGGTTGCTCAACGAATGTTAAATTTATTTGTTGAAAATTTTCCCATTGTCTTCGGCGAAAACAGTGTTTCTTACAATATTCATGGCCTACTCCATGTAAGAGAGACTGTAAATCAAATCGGAAATCCGATTGCAGGTTCCTCTTACGCGTTTGAGAATTATTTGCAGGTATTAAAAAAAGTGGTCCGAAAGCCAACAAATATTCTAGAACAAATTTATAGAAGAACGGTAGAGGAAACGTATGTAGCTCCAGAAAGGGAGGAAATTAAGTTAGAAGGCAGGTTTCTTAAAATTAAAGACTGTAGGCTTAGCGATAGGAAACCAGACAATTTTTGTTTCGTTGGGGATGAGATCCCAATACAAATAGAGTCCTTTGAGGACAATGAAGGAGAAATATTTATATTAGGTAGGGAATTCAATGATAAAACAAACTTTTTTGATGCGCCCTTAAGGTCGTCAAGCTTAGGAATTTATTTAGTAAATTTCAGAACGCTGATGAGCGTTAAAAAATTTTCAGTTAGGGAATTTAGGAGAAAGGCTGTAGTTATGCCTTTCAAACAGGAAGCAGTTTTAGTTCCATGCTTGCACTGTTCTTAGGGATTTTTAGGATTTTGGAGGTGTTTAGTCCGTAGGCGTAATTTAATTACGAATCGGGCATATTTAAAGCGACGGCGCTTTAAATATCTTTTGAAGATTCACCTTCCATGGTTCGAAACCAAAAAAAAAAAAAAAATTAGGAAGTTTCAATTTATAAAACAATGATTTTAATTATGTTCTTTTTATTTCCTTAGAATGTCAGAGCCACCGAACAAAATTCGCCGTATCGACTTTTCCGAGTCGGGTGAGTATAAATTCCATTACACAAAACTGAAATTAAAATATTATTTTACTATTCACAGATCATCCATCCGTATCTCGTGAGTTTCATGATTTTTTTTTAATTTTTGATAACCTATTTAAATTTTTTAACAGATTCATGTGAAGAAAGAATAATCCTGTGCGAAGAAAGGATACTTTCCGCATTAAAAGGTATTAATTGCTATATATATTAATATATATAATCCTTTCTAAATAAATTTATTTACCATTTCAGAACAAAACATCTATCTTGCGGAGCAAAATGCGGCTTTGCACCGCAAGATAGATGTTTTGGCCGAGAAGCTGGCGGAGAACACGGCAGTAGTTGACGCTTAAGTTGAAAGCGGAAGAGAAGAGGGTGGAGACAGGGGTTCCCTTCCCCCTCAAGACGGAGGACGACATAGAGCTCTTCGAGAGCTCTATGACACCTGAGCGGCGGGAGTTTTACGTAAGTTTTTTTATACTGCAAGAGTAAAGATTTTAACTTTTTATCTTTACAGAAAGCAAAAATTACTAACTTTGCCAGGAAGGATGACTTTGCAAAACTTTTCCGAAAAGTCGTTGACGATGGCTTGCTGCCAAATTTTAATTTGGACGGCACGAACTCACATAAAAAAGAGGTTTAAAAACTTGGCAAACCTCTTTGGTATTTTGAAAGGTAAACAAATGAACAATATTTTTCATTTATTTTAATAAATTATTCGAAGCAGCAATTTTAATAAATATCTTTTTATATTTTCAGACGTCTCACAAGAAGTATTTCCCCTTGAGGATGCCGAAAAAATAATTAGAAAGGCGATGCAAAATGCGCAAAAAATAGCATTTGCAAAAAAAATATTAAAATTAATTTTAATTTAAATAATACGTTATAATAATAAAAATGTAAAATTATAATAATAAAATAAAAATAATAATAAAATAATAATAATAATAAAATAATAATAAAAATAAAATAATAATAATAATAAAAATTTAATATACTAATAATAATAATAAAATATGTAATAATAAAAATGTAATATAATAATAATAGTAAAATAATAATAATAATAATAATAATAATAATAGAATAATAATAGTCATATAAATAATATTTATAAATAAAAAAAAATGTTTAAAAACTGTATTAAAAATGTGTTTTTTTTAGTCATTCCTCTTATGAAAATAGGTATGACTTTCCAAAAAAATGTATTGGGGAATTCATATAGGAAATTGTTTAAAAATTCACCGAAGAATTCCCAAAGGGCATCCTCGCAAAAGCTTTCGAGGAAAACCCCGCTTCCACTTCCGCTACGAATTCCTCTATGCCTTATACGATTTTTTTCCCATACAAAATTCGTATAAGGCACCGAGGAATCGCTCGATGAAACGGCCAAAAAGTTCATCGAGAGATTCACCTATGAAGAAAACTTGAATCCCATACAAAATTCATCGCGCAATTCCTCGGTGCGGGCATACCTTCGTACCCCAGTTACCTCGGTGCTTCCTCGCGGAATTTCTTATAGGAAAAACCTTTTTTGGAACTGCAGGGAAAAAAAAAAAAAAAAAAAAAAAAAATAATTAATGTGTTTGTGTGTTGAGGATAAAAAAAAAAAAAGTAAAAAAAAAAAAATTTTTTTTAAATAAAAATTATTTTTTTTTTTTTATTTTTAATTTTAAAGATTCTAAAACTAAAAGATGATTGTATAGTTACGCACTGTGTAGACTTTTTTAAAATTAGCAGATAGTTGGATTCACAAAAACAACAACAACTTGAAGCATAGAACAAATAAAATGTACACATTGACGTCAATGCGTGAAATAGACTCATGTATATTTATATATATATACATTTACAAAACAGGAGGTTATAAAAGGAAAGCATTTCAAAAAAATATTTTTTTTCTTTTTTTTTATTCAAAAAAAAATTTCTTTTTTTTTTTTTTTTTTTGTGTGCCACCTTTATATTTTTAAAAAAAAAAAAAAACTTTTTTTTTAATATTTTTTTTTTATTTTAATAAAAAATTTTATTATTAAAATTTTACCGGTCCCCAATAAAATAACAAATTTTAAAAACCCTAAATAAAATAATTAAATTAAATTATTTTTTATTTAATATGCCAAAATTGAAAAAAAATAATAAAAATTGATTTCAAATTCGAGATCTTGGAAGATAGCCATATTTTTATTGATCTTTTAAACAAGACTAGTGATGATAGTGAAAAAAAATTTAAAAAGTGAACTTGATACGCAAATAATAAATACTAATAATAATAGTACCTATTAATGTAACCTCATCAACTGCAAGCACAGTTGAAGAAACAACAACAACAACGCCTACAACATCAAAATCAAACCCACCTACTTTGATAAGTAGGTTTCTGGTGGAAAAGGAAGAAGAAACAAGTACAGCAGCATCTACAACAACAACTACATCTGCAACTACAACAACATCTACAACAACAAGATCAACAATATCTGCAACAACAACATCAAACCCACCCAATCTTTTTGATTTTAATAGGAAAGATACAAATGTTGAGAATATAGAAAATAAAAACATAGAATCTAAAAATCACAAAAAATTGTTATGGGTATCAATGATAGTGAGGCAGATTTTCAAAACGTAAGTCGAGCACCTAAAATTAGTAATACCTCTCAAGAAATAGTGTTGGGTATCAATGATAGTGATACCGAATTTGAAAGTGCAACACGAGTTCCAATAAAAAGAAACACAACACAAAAATTAAAAAACGCTGAAAACATACATAACTCTCAAATAGAATTTACAAAGAGAGGAATAATAGAAAATTTTAAAAACCAGTTAATTGAAAATGAAAGGAGAATAGGGGGCATCTGGATTTAGGAAGAAGGGGGTTGAATAGATTCTTCACCGTAGCATATAAAAGTGCTACGGTAGGTGTTAAATGTCACTATAATAATATATATAGAAGATCACATGTTAAACGTAGTGGAAATAAATCAAAACGTAGGAATATAAAACATTTATCTCCTCACCACCACCAATGAAAATCTAAACGAAATGTAAATACCCCTCTAGCAACATTAAGAATAAATTGTTTTGAATTTGCTGAAGTTTTAACACATTCAGCAATACATGCAGAGAGGCAGAAAGATAGAAAAGTATATGAAAGAATTTCGAAAGATGCCGATCTTCTTTCTATACAAGATAGTAAACGGGAAGAGATAGGAGATGAAGAACCAGGATATCTTAACGATGGCCCACAAATAAATGAAATAGGTATCGAAGCAGCAGAAAAAATTAATGGACTATATTTGAGGAACAGAAATTTAGCATCTCAAATGCTAATTGAATATTTAAATAAAAAAGAAAGTGAGATTAGTACAGATAAAATTCCAATTAATGACATTAATGATTTCAAAATAACTAATAGTGACAATATAATCTGATTGAGCAGGGAAATATGTTTGTTTTGCAGAATTTAAATAAAGAAGTTGCTAATACTATTTCAAGTGGAGTACAAAAAGGTAAGTTAAACAAAATATACATATAAAAAAAAATATTTTTATATATACTAATAATATTTTATTTTCAGAATTTCAAAATAATAATAATAAAGAAGTTGATAATACTATTTCGAGTGAAGTACAAAAAGGTAAGTTTAATAATATATACATATATATATAAAATAATATTTATATATACTAATAATATTTTATTTTCAGAATTTCAAAATAATAATAATACAGAATTTAATAATACTATTTCGAGTGGAGTACAAAAAGGTGAGTTGAACAATATATACATATATAAAATAATATTTATATATACTAATAATATCTTTATTTTCAGAATTTCAAAATATTAATAAAGAACATGAAAATACTATTTCGAGTGGAGTACAAAAACGTGAGTTGAATAATATATATTTTATATATATATATATATATATATATATATATATATATACTAATAATATTTTTATTTTCAGACCCTCTGGTTTTGTATGATGACCATGATGAGCATAATGATGATGATGGTGATGATGATGATGATGACCACGAAGTAATCATTTACGATGAGGATAATCCAGAGCCATGCATCACAAGATCACCTAGTGAGGACGAAACTGTTCTTGTTGAAGGTGGAATTAACAACTATGTGCAAACTATACCTTTAAATTTAGATAAGGATAATGATGAATATATAAAATCTATTCCTTTAAGTAATGACGATGATAAAATCTTTATAATAGAGGGTGGTATAAATAGTTATGTGCAAACTATACCACTAAATATTGAAGAAAATAAGCAAATTGAGTGTAATTCTAAGAAACCATTTTAATTGTTCTTTAAAATAAAAATTTTATAATCTTGTTCTGGGAAATTTTTAACATTAACCTCTAATAAGCAATGTTTGTTCTTTAAAATAAAAATTTTATAATCTTGTTATGAAATGTAATACTAACCTCTAAATAAAGCAATGTTTGTTCTTTTAATTTGTAATATTTGGTTTATACATTACCTTCAATTAACCTTTAAATAAAAAGCGATGTTTGTTCTTTAAATTTAAAATTTCATTGTTATACCCTTGCAGAGCAAAGGGTATTATAATTTCAGTCAGAAGTTTGCAACGCAGTGAAGGAGACACCTCAGACCCCATAAAGTATATATACTCTTGATCAGCATCACCATCTGAATCGAAATATGTATGTACGTCTGTCTGTCTGTCTGTCTGTCTGTCTGTCTGTCTGTCTGTCTGTCTGTCTGTCTGTCTGCCTCTCTGTCTGTCTGTCTGTCTGTCTGTCTGTCTGTCTGTCTGTCTGTCTGTCTGTCTGGTCTCGTCTGTCTGTCTGTCTGTCTGTCTGTCTGTCTGTCTGTCTGTCTGTCTGTCTGTCTGTCTGTCTGTCTGTCTGTCTGTCTGTCTGTCTGTCTGTCTGTCTGTCTGTCTGTCTGTCTGTCTGTCTGTCTGTCTGTCTGTCTGTCTGTCTGTCTGTCTGTCTGTCTGTCTGTCTGTCTGTCTGTCTGTCTGTCTGTCTGTCTGTCTGTCTGTCTGTCTGTCTGTCTGTCTGTCTGTCTGTCTGTCTGTCTGTCTGTCTGTCTGTCTGTCTGTCTGTCTGTCTGTCTGTCTGTCTGTCCTGTCTGTCTGTCTGTCTGTCTGTCTGTCTGTCTGTCTGTCTGTCTGTCTGTCTGTCTGTCTGTCTGTCTGTCTGTCTGTCTGTCTGTCTGTCTGTCTGTCTGTCTGTCTGTCTGTCTGTCTGTCTGTCTGTCTGTCTGTCTGTCTGTCTGTCTGTCTGTCTGTCTGTCTGTCTGTCTGTCTGTCTGTCTGTCTGTCTGTCTGTCTGTCTGTCTGTCTGTCTGTCTGTCTGTCTGTCTGTCTGTCTGTCTGTCTGTCTGTCTGTCTGTCTGTCTGTCTGTCTGTCTGTCTGTCTGTCTGTCTGTCTGTCTGTCTGTCTGTCTGTCTGTCTGTCTGTCTGTCTGTCTGTCTGTCTGTCTGTCTGTCTGTCTGTCTGTCTGTCTGTCTGTCTGTCTGTCTGTCTGTCTGTCTGTCTGTCTGTCTGTCTGTCTGTCTGTCTGTCTGTCTGTCTGTCTGTCTGTCTGTCTGTCTGTCTGTCTGTCTGTCTGTCTGTCTGTCTGTCTGTCTGTCTGTCTGTCTGTCTGTCTGTCTGTCTGTCTGTCTGTCTGTCTGTCTGTCTGTCTGTCTGTCTGTCTGTCTGTCTGTCTGTCTGTCTGTCTGTCTGTCTGTCTGTCTGTCTGTCTGTCTGTCTGTCTGTCTGTCTGTCTGTCTGTCTGTCTGTCTGTCTGTCTGTCTGTCTGTCTGTCTGTCTGTCTGTCTGTCTGTCTGTCTGTCTGTCTGTCTGTCTGTCTGTCTGTCTGTCTGTCTGTCTGTCTGTCTGTCTGTCTGTCTCTGTCTGTCTGTCTGTCTGTCTGTCTGTCTGTCTGTCTGTCTGTCTGTCTGTCTGTCTGTCTGTCTGTCTGTCTGTCTGTCTGTCTGTCTGTCTGTCTGTCTGTCTGTCTGTCTGTCTGTCTGTCTGTCTGTCTGTCTGTCTGTCTGTCTGTCTGTCTGTCTGTCTGTCTGTCTGTCTGTCTGTCCTCCTGTCGGTTTCTATGTAAACTAGTCTCTCAGTTTTAAAGCTATCGTGTTGAAACTTTTCCAAAAGTTGTGTAGTTATTGCACGCAGTATATAAGTCGGAACGAGCCGGATCGGCCGACTATATCGGATAGCTCCCATATAAGAGTTAAAAAAATAAAGGATAAACAATTATTACGCCGTTGTTTTTGATCAGATCGACTTGAATTCTTCAAGATGGCGTTTTCTAACGGTTATTAAATTTCGGATTAAATTTTATCAAAATCGGATAACCCTATCATATAGCTGCCATAGGAAAGATCAAAAAATATATGTAGAAATAATGGCAAAATAATCATAACGTTGTTGTTTTTTATTCCACGAGCATGATTTTTACAACATCGACTTTATGAACTACCCTTGAACCGAGAAAAAAATTTCATAAAAATCGGACAACTATATCATATAGCTGCCATATGAACAACAGTCGAAAATATGTAAAATTAATAGAAAAGTCGTCATAGCTTCGAGGTTGTTAGCCTTTATGTATTTTGTTCGATTTGTTTGATGACTGCAAGGGTATATAAGCTTCGGCTTGCCGAAGCTAGCTTCCTTTCTTGTTTTATTTATAATTATAGATTAAATTTATTCTTTTTCAAAATTTAGTAAATTTAATTCTAATTCTGTATAAAACATTTCAAATGTACAATCATCAATATTTTTCTTAAATTTTTCTATTTCAATGTCTTGATAATTATTTCTATTAGGACAATTCTCTATTTCTTTAATTCTTTGCTCGTAAACATAAATATTTGCATTTATTTCATCAAGTTTATTTTCTAATTTGTTTTCTTCTATTTTATAATGTCCATATTGTAATGTATTAATTTTATTATCTTGTATAACTAGCTTAGTATCTTTGTGACTGAGAACCCCTTTTTTACATCTAACTGTTGATAAAATATGATTCCTAGATCTAATCATTGTCATAGATCCTACCACTTCCTCTTCCGAAAACAAACATTTTTTAAAACTATTAAAGGTTAACTGATCAATGGCACTTCTTTTAACTCCCTTTGATTTTTTTTACTGTTTTTTCAGAGTTATCATTAATATTATATGATTTAAAGGCATACATTTTTGATCTTAAACCAACAAATTCACTCATCGGTCTTCCATTGAGTTCATCTTTAAAAAATCCCAACCTCTTTTTATTTGCTTTAGGGAAATTATAGAGATTTAATAATTCATCAGAATAATCTGATGTTTCAAACGTCATCTCAATGTCATTCTGAATATCTTTATAAAAATCTTCAGTATAAATTGTGTATATAAAAGAATCCGTATCCATATAATTTAATTGCACATTTTCATTGTATTTGGGTTTAATATAATTATAATGAAAATCATACATTTTCCATTTGGATAGATCTAAAACAGCAAAACCTAAATATAAAGGTTTATTGTATAAACCATTTAACCTTTTCATTTGAAAAGCAAAGAAGTTTTCTGAAAACTGTTTTACACTATGGAAGTTGGACTTTGATATAAGAGATCTAGCACAATGCCTTTTAGGACCAGCAGAATCTGATGGTGAAGCACTTTCCCATTCTGTTATTAATTTTACATCCACTCGTTTATCCACATTTTCCATGGTTTTTCCATAGACAGCATTATTTAAAAGTTTAAAAAATCTTTTTCAAATGTATTTTTTGCATTAGTTCTATGGAATGTATTCAAGTCAGTATATGCTTTTAACCAAGGCTTCTGAAAGAAACGAAGACCTCTATGGATTTTTGTCAGAATTAAACCATTTTCTATACACTGTTGAAGATTTTTATAATGAATAATATATTTTTCTTTATCCCTTAAATCAGCAATTCATTTTTTAATTTTATCTGTCTTTGTTGGTAATTGATTATTGCAACAAAATGGAAGATCATTATGTTTATAATGTAATTTATAAGGATATTTTAGATCTACCTCAAAAATGTAGCCATATTCACTATCATCTCCTATCTCTAAAATATTGATACTATCAAGTGATTCCCTTGAAACCCATTCAAAACCTCCATATGGTAAAGATTGTGACATAGCCCAACCATATAAATTATTTGCATCCAAATAAATTAAATATGATGATTTTTGAGTACTATCAAAATTCTCAACATATTTATTATTTGCTTTTGCATATCTACATGTAGGTACATTGAACTAAGCCACCTCGAATACCACTTTGAATAAATTTATACTGATCTATATCAGTTAATAAATCTAATTCAATTTTAGTACATTTTAACATAGCTTCCCATGATAAACCTGGTGTTGTGAAAAAATGCGCTGGATCAAGGGAATAAATTTTAATACAAAGTCTTCGGAAGTTTTCAAAGACATCAGACATTAACAAAACATCTGTTTTCAAGTATAACTCTAAATAATCTTTTAAGTTCTCACATGAAAACTCATTCCATACCTCTTGCGCATGAGTGTAATTTTCAATCGAACATTCATTTTCAGTTAAGGAACTATAGAAAGCTTCTCTAGGAGGTAATTTACTTTCTTTTAATTTCTCAACTAAATCTAAATATTGTAAGGGTTTGCAAAACGCCTTACAAGTTTGAGTGCAGGAGAGCCGCATAGCAACAGCGGGATGCGCGGCGTGCAGAAGAAAAGGGAAATAACGGTGCAAAGGACTTTGGACTCAATGCTGCGGTGAGTCTGCAGACTTTGGACCCAATAACGGTGAGTCTGCGGACTTCGGACCCGCGCAAAGAGGAGAGACCGTGAACTAACGGTACCGTTCTGGACTTTGTACCCGTTATAACGGTGAAGTTCTGGACTTTGTACCCGTTATAACGGTGAAGTTGGCGGACTTTGGACCAGCACAAAGAGGAGAGACCGTGAACTAACGGGACTTGTGCTGCCCTTTGGACCCGATCACGCCACTTATCCTGCACTTTGGACCCAGTCACGCCACCGATGGAGGGAAATAGCGGGACATGGATGGCATATAAAAGGAGGACGCGTGCAGGC